CTTTTTGAAATAAAGTACCAGTCCCTCCAATCATCAAAAAAAAAAAAAAAAAAAAAAAGAAAAGGAGTTTCACTATGTTGCACCAGAGTGGCCTTGGACTCCTGAGCTCAAGTGATATTCCTGCCTCAACCTCCTCCGAGGCTAGATGTGCCATTGTAACCAGCTTAACCTGAGCACCTTTTTTTTTTTGAGACAGAGTCTTACTTTGTTGTCTGGGCTAGAGTGCCGTGGGGACAGCCTAGCTTACAGCAACCTCAAACTCCTGGGCTCAAGCAATCCTCCTGCCTCAGCCTCCCGAGTAGCTAGGACTACAGGCATGCGCCACCATGCCTGACTAATTTTTTCTATATATTTTTAGTTTTCCAGATAATTTCTTTCTATTTTTAGTAGGGACGGGATGTCTCTCTTGCTCAGGCTGGTCTTTAACTCCTGACCTTGAGTAATCTTTCTGCCTTGGCCTCCCAGAGTGCTAGGATTACAGGCATGAGCCACCACGCCCAGCCTGTAGAGGTATTTTATAGTGTGATTAATATTAAAATCAGTAAACTCTGAGTAAGCAGATTACCTTCCATTAAGGTGGGCCTTGTCTAATCAGTTGAAAGCCTTAAGAGAAAAGATAAGTTTGCCAAAGAAAAATGAATTTGTCCTTAAAACTGCAACATAGGTTATCTAAGTTTCTAGACCTTTTCTGCAGATTTTAGAGGCAAACATCAGCTCTTATGTGAATTTCCAGCCTGCCAGCTTATTCTACAGATTTCAGATTGACTAACATCCACAACTGAGTGAACCAATTGCTTAAAATGAACCTTCCTGTATCTCTCAATATAGATAGATCCTATCAGTTCTGTCTCTTTAGAGAACCCTGACCAATACATATTTTGGTCTGAGGTTGGTTCTAGAGTGAAAGAACCTTAGGATAAATTTTCTGAATTAGTTCTTGGGTTTCTGGAGTTCATTTTCTAATTTTTAGATTTAAAAGCACCACTACTACTCTATTTCCAGTAGTGAAGAGAGCACTGATTGTCCATGGCATGGTGTGGCCATACAGACATGCAAGACACTACCGTCGATACCCTAATCAACTACAAGAGACAAAGTTCCGAGTGACTGTGTATTTTATAATGCAGGACATTTTGTCGAACTACCAAGTATAACGAGACTTGCTGGTCACTCCTGATCGCAGTGGACAAGCTGAGGAAAGAAAGGAATGAGCTCAGGGATTCATGTTCCCAGCTCAAGTGCCACACAAATGGCCTGGGAGTTTCTCTGTCTGTCCTGAAGGAAACCCTTGTCTCCAGCACCCACAGAGCTGAGACTGATGAAAAGCAAACCCAGAGTCTCATCCTGCCACGGCGGAGTCACAGTGCAAACTGGATTCCCAGCTCTGCAGGCAGTTGCTGTGGACGGGAAAGCACTGATCCGGAGGGCATGACCTCAGCAAATCAGCAGAGGAACCGTATGTACAGATTCTGATGAAACTGGGGACACTGAACCCCTACATTTTGCTGGGCCTTCTCCATCCCCATTTGAGGTTAATCCTGCTTTGCCTGAAGAAAATGTCGGGCTGCCCCTGAGACTGCTGCCTTGCAGGACCCTGCTGGCGCTGCTGGCCACCCGCTCTCACCACCTCTCTTTGCTTCTCGGCTTGTGACAACAGACTCATCTCTGCAGGCCCCCAAAGTGCGGGACAAATAAATACATGAACAAAGTGTGACCCATGAGGAGGTGTGCTCCTCTTCAAAAGAACTACGTGATTTTTCCCGTTTATACAGACAGAAATCCAGGGAATATGTGTGCCAATGGATCCCAGGGCTGTGGGATAACGGTAGAAGAGACACAAAGCTAGCTCAGGCCACATTTATTTATATGGCCACTCAGCAGAGATTCTGGACTTAACTGCTGCAGTTTGGGGGACTGGAAGGGGCCCTAACTGGCTGGCTGGTTGGCTGGCTGAAACAGCCTAAAGGGTCCTGCAGTAACCCTAGTTGAAATGCCAGAACTCCCATAGTAGTATAGAGGAAAGTGCCCAAGGCTCAGGGAGATGGAAATGTTGCCGTGAATGTGTCACCTGGTGCAGAGGACACGCGTTACCGCAACCGAGCAAACCTGGGAGGGACAACCGACGGCCCTCGAAGAGCTGCGGCTGCTCTCACTCCAGGGCTGGAGACGGATCATGGGGGAAGAGGAAATTTCGGAGACTCGGCAGGGATCCTGCGCTGTCCTGTCCTCGACCCGGTGCTGGGGCTGCTCAGAGGCGCCTTCGCTGGGCCCGGGGCCCAGCCTGCGCGGACTCGGCCCGACCCTCCCGGCGGCTCCCCGTGCGGCGCAGGGAGGGGACAGCGGGCCGGGCTCCGCTCTCGCCCGCTCAGCCCGAGGGCTCCCCGGACCCCCGTACCGCATGGGGCTCCGCGCACGAGGGGGGTCCCCAGTCCGCTGTCGGATTCGGAGCCTGACAAGTTCCCCAGATCCGCGGCGACGCGGCCGTGCGCTCCTGGCGCGGCCGTGCGCTCCGGCCCGCAAGCGTGGCGCCGGCGGCCGCCCAGGCCCGACACGCGCTCCGCCGGCTCGGGCGGAAGCGGGCTCCTCCCGCAACCATCGCGCCTGCTCCGGCCCGCGGCGCGCGGGGAGCTCCTGGCGGGGGAGGCGCAGGGAGATCGGCCCGGACACCGGCTCTGTTTCCGCCCCGATTTCCCGGTCGCCGCTCCGGGACCCGGCGTCCGACCACCGCTCCCAGGCACCAGGGCGGCCCCTCTCGCTCGGGCCCGACCCCGCCGCTCAGGGGCCCGGGACCGTTTCTTCCGCGTCCCGGCCCTGAGCAGACGCTGCCTGTCCAGGTCCCTCAGGCCTCTTCTCCTGCCGTCTCGCATCCCTGAAACGAAGGTCACGCGGTCCTAGACCCAAAGGCAATTTCTGGCCCTGCCGACTGACCCGCGGTCGGAGCGCTGCGGCCCAGCCGCGCCCCCACCCGGAGCCCGCGGCGGCGATTGCGCGCAATGGCAGAGGCCGCGGCTTCTCACCCTGCACCGGGCCCAGGAGGCCGCGAAGGTGGCTGATCGTCCGCCTCCATCTGTGGCCATATGATTCCTCTTTAGTATTGGAGACAGCACATTCCATACCTGAGAATTTTCTGGGACTCCGTGGATCGAGCCACCGAACTGCAGCTAAAGTTGAATGGATGTCATGGAAGTGGTTCAGTTGAGTGTGAAGCAAGGGCTGCCCTTGTCCTCTATCCTCCCCCAAAACCACGCGGTTACAGGTGTCACGGATCAATTCTACAGCTGGCTGTAGCTGTCGGAAATGAGACTCCCCTACTTTTCAGGTCCTGGGCTTTTTTAACTTGAGAAAATCCTCTAACTCTAAGGAGTACAAGCTCTTTAAGAAATAACTGCACTGGTGTTACTGAACCCTAATGAAGACACATAATTTCACCAAAGAAAAAGTTGTGACTTCTTATCCTGCAAGGGGATTTCTTTGGTCCCAAATACCATAAGGTAGTACAAGTGCAAAAATGTTCCCATAAGAAATGGAGATGTCACTCTTATCCAGGTAGTAGTCAAGCATATGTGCCATTTGTCCCTAAATGCTTATTTGGATGTTGTTGAGTGTGTGTGTGTGCGTGTGTGTGTGCGTGTGTGAAGCAGTCGTAGGCACCCACTGCCCAAGCTCCAAGGTTTAAAGAAAAAGCTATATTCTTTTTTTTTTTTTCTGAGACAGAGTGTCACTCTCTTGCCTGGGCTAGAGTGCTGTGGCGTCAGCCTAGCTCACAGCAACCTCAAACTCCTGGGCTCAAGTTATCCTCCTGCCTCAGCCTCCCGAGTAGCTGGGACTACAGGCACGCACTACCGTGCTGGGCTAATTTGAAAAACCTATATTCTTTATTCCTCCTTTAAGTAAGGGCTCCTGGCTTGCTACAGGGCCCTGGTAGATTCTGAATGTCATGATCACAATACAGCAAATGATCAAGTGACTTGACATGCTCACCATGATCTGGGTTTTGCGCATTCAATAATGCTCATAGCATTCAGTCATCAAGGGGAAGTGGCACATAGAGCATCACACCTGAGCAGGTCCTGCAAGGCCAGGTATGTTGCATAGTAATTCTTATTATTGCTGGAGAGTCTACACTCCCTTGTCCATCCTTGAGGTCTTGAGAAGTTCACTAAGGACTGTTGGCTATAGAGGAAGAAATCTGAATAGTTTTGTGCATCCAGAAATGGACTGTTATAGCATTACAGCCCCTTTCAGGAATTGTTATGAAGAGCAGCAGAAAGAAAAAGAACCACAGTGAGAAGATTTTTAATCAGACCATCTGGAAGTCTACTCTACCAAAAAGAGAAATATCTTATTTTTGGATTATTATCAATGCATGAGCAGTGGCTAAAAGTTTGCTTAGATGTGTGATAACTTTAGAGGAAAAAGATGGAAGGTTTGTGATAATGAGTCTTGCAGATGAGGTGTGAACCAGTAATATGGCACATTAGGGATCCACATCTACCCTCAAGCCAACAAAAATGGATAATCAAAACATAAAACACGGCCGGGCGCTGTGGCTCACGCCTGTAATCCTAGCTCTTGGGAGGCCGAGGCGGGCGGATTGCTCAAGGTCAGGAGTTCAAAACCAGCCTGAGCAAGAGTGAGACCCCATCTCTACTATAAATAGAAAGAGATTAATTGGCCAACTAATATATATAGAAAAAAATCAGCCGGGCATGGTGGCGCATGCCTGTAGTCCCAGCTACTCGGGAGGCTGAGGCAGCAGGATTGCTTGAGCCCAGGAGTTGGAGGTTGCTGTGAGCTAGGCTGACGCTACGGCACTCACTCTAGCCTGGGCAACAGAGCGAGACTCTGTCTCAAAAAAAAAAAAAAAAAAAAGCTTCCTTATCCCTTAGGAGAAATGATAAGCTGTCCATGAGTGAGCGTAGGACCAACGTGGCTAAGAATGCAGGGCAGTGTTTGGGAAAACTGCCAGAATGCATGCCTGACCTCTCACAGAAAAGGGGGAGAGAAGAAAGGTAGCTCAAAGTTAACTGACAAGGAAAGCAGAAATTAAGAGTACTGGTATGTGGTATGGTCGACACCAAACACAGATCCATTCACTAGCTACTCATAATACCCCAAGAATTTTTCAAAGGCCAAGATATTCTACTTCTGGAGATTTGGTTCAGCAGGCCCAGGAGGGGACCAGCAATTAGTACTTACAAACAGCTCCATGAGATTTGGCATGAATCTGGATTCTAGACTCTGGAGTCTAGAGTGCAATAGCATCTAGGCCAAAATAGGCACTGGAAGAAGGAGGACTGTATTTGTAGAATGCCCTGGAGAGGTTGAGGGGAATGAAGACTGAGGAAAATCCATTCTATTTGAAACTAGAGGTGACTGCTGACCCTTGAGCGTCGACAGGAAACTCAGAATGTGCAAAGGTGCAGAGGCAGAGAGAGCTATGGGTGAGCAGGGATGTCACAGAGACTGTGGCAGGCACCTGTTCCCATGCTGGGAGGAGGGTTGGATCTGCAGGGTGCGAGGAGGCCAAGGTGAGAAGCTTGGGATTCATCATAACTGGGCAGCAGTCACTTAAATCTTTGGGTAGGACTAAGGTATGGAAAGAGCTATGATGGTGTGCTCAGTGGCTAAGAGACTAAAGACAAGAATGCTTTAAACTTAACCTAGCTGAGCTACATGGAGATTTAATAACTACATGTGAAGTGGAGAAACATAAATCCCTTACCTTCTCCAGATGACACCTACCAGTTAGCAAGTGGCCTAGCCAGGCCTGTCAAACTAGAATAGCTCTTGGGCTGGAGGACAAGAGTGGTTTCAGGGACAGAGAAATTTCGAAGCAGAGATACAAGCTACGACCCAGATGTACCTTAAAAATGTTATGATAGGCCGGGCGCTGTGGCTCACGCCTGTAATCCTAGCTCTTGGGAGGCCGAGGCGGGCGGATTGCTCAAGGTCAGGAGTTCAAAACCAGCCTGAGCAAGAGTGAGACCCCATCTCTACTATAAATAGAAAGAAATTAATTGGCCAACTGATATATATATAAAAAATTAGCCGGGCATGGTGGCGCATGCCTGTAGTCCCAGCTACTCAGGAGGCTGAGGCAGAAGGATCACTTGAGCCCAGGAGTTTGAGGTTGCTGTAAGCTAGGCTGACACTACGGCCATGGCACTCTAGCTCGGGCAACAGAGTGAGACTCTGTCAAAAAAAAAAAAAAAAAAAAAAAAAAAAAAAAAAACATAAAACACATCATAAAAGTATTAAGAGGCTTGTGCTTTAGTAAAAACTATCTAATCAAAAATCAGGGAATGCTGAATTTACTTCTGTCCTGAGCTCATTTATTTAATGTAGAATAGTTAAGCTTTAGTTTCCACAGCCTCATAAGACATTTGTAATAGAAGGCAAAGCTCAGGTAGCACTCAAATGGGAAACCTGGCCAGGCACAGTGGCTCACTCCTGTAATCCTAGCACTTTGGGAGGCTGAGGCAGGAGGATCTCTTGAGCCCAGGAGTTTGAGACCAGCCTGAGAAACATAGCAAGACCCAGTCAAGAAAGTAAGAAAGAGAAAAGAGAATAGAAGAAAAGAAAAGAAAAATTAGCCAGGCATTGTGGTACAAGCCTGTAGAACCAGTTACCCAGGAGGCTGAGGCAGGAGGATCACTCGAGCCCAGGAGTTTGAGGTTGCTGTGAGCTATGATGACACCACTGCACTCTAGTCTGGACAACAGAGTGAGAACCTATCTAAAAAAAAAGTGGGAAATTTATTTAATTTTTAATTTTTTTATTTTAGCATGTTACAAGGGTACAAATATTTAGGTTATGTATATTGCCTTTACCCCACCCGAGTCAGAGCTTCAAGCATGTTCGTCTGTCAGATGGTGCACGCCGTGCCCATTAGGTGTGAATATACTCATCCCCTCCACCTACCCAACACCCGATGAATGTTATTACTATATGTGCAAAAAAAGAGAGAAATTTAATGGGATGATCTCCCTCATTTTGCCAGGACCCCTGAGGACAGTTCCTTAGTGGAAAGAAAATGTCCCATGCTTGAAGGGCTACAGGGACAGTTGCCTTGATCCTGAGCGGACTGAGATGAAAAACTTGCTCTGAGATTAAACACAAGTGGCCCCTCACATGGATCTGCAGCCCAAATTCACCCTACTGGGTGGTTTGAAAATTATCAAGCCATGAATTCAGTTTAAAGTAGGCCAGACTCCAAGGAACCTGGCAGAAAGAAACAAAAATCCCCTCTGTAGGAATGTGCTACCATTCACAGTTTGAAAATTTCAAGAAATCATTACAGGCCAGGTGCAGTGGCTCATGCCTGTAATCCTAGCACTTTGGGAGGCCGAGGTGGGCAGATTGCTCGAGGTCTGGAGTTCGAAACCAGCCTGAGCAAGAGCGAGACTCGTCTCTACTATAAATAGAAAGAAATTAATTGGCCAACTAAAAATATATAGAAAAATTAGCCAGGCATGGTGGCACATGCCTGTAGTCCCAGCTACTTGGGAGGCTGAGGCAGCAGGATTGCTTGAGCCCAGGAGTTTGAGGTTGCTGTGAGCTAAGCTGATGCCGTGGCACTCACTCTAGCCTGGGCAACAAAGCAAGACTCTGTCTCAAAAAAAGAAATCATTACAAAATGAGCACTTATGAGTTTAAACCAACAATAAAAACTATGTTCATAAGAGACAAGGTGCCATGAAAGAATGAGTCTTTTATATTTAACAGATTGTAGAATCACATAACTTGGAAAATAGAATAATAAGAATAGGATATAAAATAGCTAATCTTACTATGATTTAAAAAACAAGGTTTAAAATATTTTAGTGAATAAGAAATAATAATCTTCGGGAAAATTTGAAAAGACAATTATATACAACATTTAGAAATGAAAATATAATAATTAAAATTAAAATCTCAAGTAATTTTTACTAACAAAGAAAATTTGATACAAACACATTTACTAAAGGAAGTTCTAAAGAATATACTTCAAGGGAGGAGGGCAGGGGCAAAAACCTAGGTAACAAATACAATGAACACTATTTGGGTGATGGGCACACTTATAGCCATGACTAAGCATTACAAAAATTATCTGTATAACCATTTGTACCCCCTTAATATTTTGAAATAAAAAATAATGTACTTCAGACAAAAGGAGAAATCCCAGGTACAAGATATAAGATGGCAAAAAAACAAATATAAAATGAAAGTAAATGTGTGGTTAAATTCAAATTAAGGTGAGGTTAAAAAGAATAACATATTAATATAAGTTCTGAGGGAATAAATACAGTTAATTGAAAACTAGGTTCTTTCTGTCTTTCCCCCCAAATAACACTGGATTTGTTTTCTTTATAATCTGAATAAAAAATTCAAGATAAACTTCTGACACATATTGCGATCTATGTTGGTGGTTTTGTGAATTTCAGTATAGGGGATATGAAGAGAATATTCTGTGGGTCATTCTATGTTACCTTTTCAACTTATTACTGGGTTGTACAGTACTTCAGATTCCCTAATCCTGTAATTAATAAATGGGCAAATTTATGTACAGTTTCCAATAGTGGACAGTTTTCCACAATAAAAATGGAATTTATGAAGTTGGTAGGACTTGCCAGTTTTTCTTTCAGAACCACGGACAGATCTATACACCCAGGGATGTGGGGATTCTTTCAGAACCACGGACAGATCTACACATTCTGGGGTATGAGGAGCAAGCGTCCTCCCTCAACTAGATACAAGAATATCAGGGAGAAAAGTGTAAGATAAACCCTAATAATCGTGGAATTGTGATTGTAAACATAGTAGTCATAGTCTTAAATACTGCATTCTTTCCACTCCCACCCCTTAGCCCAATATTCCATTGGCTTTGTATTTCATGATCGTTATAATATAAGGGCCTGTTTGGGCAGAGGAGGAAGCTTCAGGCTGCTCTTGGTACAATAATATAGTGGCCTAAGAGCAATAGATCTAGAATAAAACTGCCTAGAACTGAATTATGGCCTCAATATTCATAATTGTGTTACCTTGGGCAAGTTATTTCACCTCTCTGTACCTAATTTTCCTGAACAAGTTACTAACAGTTTCTAGATTTCATTTCTTTATCATGAATAAGATCCTTCTCATATGGTCATGGTAAATAATGAACAAATTAGCCAACGTAGGTACTTAAACCAGTGCCTGGAATATAGCACGTAACATTTAAATGCAGTCATTATTATTATTATAGCTGTTGTTGCTGTTACCTTCCATGTGACACTTTCAGGAAGTTTCCCTTTCATAGGTTCCCATACAGGATCTCTTAATACTTGTTAGATCAGCCATTCTTTTGAAAATTTGTTTATATTGTGAAAATTCTCTAATCATAGCCCAGCTAAATTTTTATAGAAGTTTTCAATATCTTACCCAAAGGTTTCCTTTAATTCCAGAATATTAGTCTAGGTTGGGGGTATCTTCCAGAGCCATCGCAGACTCCTGGTATTCTGGGAAAAGAATGATTTCAAAATAAAGTTTATCTTATTGAGCCTGAGAATTTAGAAAATTCCAGACTGTGAAGCAAGAGTAGAATGGATACTTCCTCATCAGGAAGAGAAGAATGTACCACTGCAAGGCAGTTAAAGAAATATCTGCTTGTTTTTAGCCAATGGTTATAGTTGTGTTTTTATTAGTCAGATGCCTTATGTAGAACATTCTTCCCAACACATATCTTTAAAAGCCTCTGGTCATCTGGTCATCACCATCCTCCCAGTCAAGTGGGAGTAACCATATAAGCAGAGCAGACACCAAGCCTTTTAATGCAAAGTTCAAGCTTCAAGTTTTACAGAATTAACTATAATGATGATAGAAGGATTGGACATAGAATTCAACATATATCTTGTATGCAGATATATCTTGCATGCTGACCTTTTAGTTTTGTAGTTTATAGTTCCCTGAGAATGTTTTATAATTTGCTTAGAAGAGATGTGCTGAGCACACATTTTGTCTGTTAGACATCTTTGCAAAAGTGTCTCATAGATGCGTTTCCTTCCTTCTCTCCTTCCTTTCTTTCTCGCTTTTTTTTTTCTTTTTGATAGAGTTTTGCTCTGTTGCCCGGGATAGCCTCCCAGGTAGCTGGGACTACAGGCACACACCTGGCTAGAGATGGGGTCTCACTCTTGCTCATGCTGGTCTCGAACTCCTGAGCTCAAGTGATCCTCCCTCACTGGCCTTCCAGAGTGCTAGGACTACAGGCCTGAGCTACCATGCCCTGCCAGAGAACAACTTCTTATTCTCTTTTTACCAATAAAAAAGCTAGGCTTAAAATGTTAAATAAAATCCCTGAGGTGAGATTAGTGAGCTCCTGGACACACATATCCCCTAACCTTCCAAATCATCCTCTCTTCTCTTCTTTAAAATGTAGAAAAAATATCCAATTGATGGCATCTCCTTATGCTAGTAATTAACTGACTGACCTGAAAGAAAGACTGGGATAATGTTGTAGACCACCTGATGTCAGAATTTAAAACCTTATTTTATCTCATCACCCCAAAGTAGTTTTTTTAAATATATGTAAGAACATGAAAGACAGTGTTTTGGGAGATTAAACCATAGTGCCTAATACAATTCCTATAATTAATAAGCTGTCAATACGTGTTAAATATGCATATATAATATAAAGTTTACAATTTGGACAGGATGGAAGGGTGCCTAAAGGAAGAACATAAATGCAAAAGCTTCCTTACCGCCAGGCGTGGTGGCTCACGCCTGTAATCCTAGCACTCTGGGAGGCCGAGGCGGGCGGATTGCTGGAGGTCAGGAGTTCGAAACCAGCCTGAGCAAGAGCGAGACCCCGTCTCTACTATAAATAGAAAGAGATTAATTGGCCAACTAATATATATAGAAAAAAATTAGCCGGGCATGGTGGCGCATGCCTGTAGTCCCAGCTACTCAGGAGGCTGAGGCAGAAGGATCACTTGAGCCCAGGAGTTTGAGGTTGCTGTGAGCTAGGCTGACGCCACGGCACTCACTCTAGCCTGGACAACAAAGCGAGACTCTGTCTCAAAAAAAAAAAATGTTATGATAAGTAAAAGAAGCCAGACACAAAAGGCCACATATAATTCCATTTACGTGACATGTCCAGAATAGGCACCTGTAGTGATGGGATACAGGTTCCAAGGGTTGGGGGATTGGGAGGAAATGAGGAGTGACTGCTCATTGGATGGGGTTTCTTTGGGGGTTGATGAAATGTTCTGAAATTGACTTTGGTAATGGTGGCACAACTCTATGAATATACTAAAAACCACTAAATTGTACATTTTGAATGTGTGAATTTTATAGTATGTAAATTATATCTCAAGTGATTATAAAATGATTAAATTACAAATAAAATTTGGAGTTTTTGCCCAGAAAAGGTTACAAGATAAAAACACTCAATATATATGTATATGGTTGCATGAAAATTGAGAATGTACTCAATATATATGTTTATGGTTGCATGAAAATTGAGAACGTAGAAATATAGAGGGTAGGTTGATAACATTAATTACCTCAGTAAAGTCAGTGTGGATTTAGCCATTAAAAAAGATTTTAATATATATTTCTATGTATTTTATTTTATTTCTTATTGTGATCATGCATTATTTTTATAATAAAATTTAAAAAATAGAAAGTTAAGAATCTTGAAAGTTTGCTCTATAAACTCCATATCCAAATAAAAGTAGTAACAAACAATGAAGAGCTGTCTAGGATTTCTTCTTGGAGCACTGGCTCAAGCATAGGCAAGGCAAAGAAGAGTACAATGGAATCAAGGCAGGACCACGGTGTTGGAAGAGAAGAAAAATGCAAATGTGGAAATGTAAGGCAATGTAGAGACAAAACGACAAATCCAAGAAGTGGACATGAATAATGTAAAAAGCTCTTGGGGAGTCAGAAGATGACAGTGTTCACTTGGGAGGGAACTTGCAGCCTAGAGCCCAAGAGGGCCAGACCCCTGGACAGGGGACAGAATAAAAGATGCTTTCCAGTTGTTCCCTTTTCTCCTTCCTGCATTGCCCAGCAAAGCCACTGCCTGATTTATAGGTATTGCACACTGAGGAATTAGTACTGTTTGGAGACTTTGAGATAACAGGCAATTTTTGAGCTCTTCTGGGTAGGGAAGTGTATCAGTACAGACTTTTTCAGGAAAACAGACTCAGTCTGATATTTCAGGAATAAAGTGTTTGATATAGGAATAAGAGCCTATACTAACATTTGAAAATCGGGGGCGGGGGAGACAATACTGGTGAAGTCATGTGTAGGCAGAATAATGATCTCCCACAGATGTCCATGTCCTAATGCCTGGAACCTGTGAAAATGTCACCTAATGTGGCAAAAGGAACTTTTCAGGTGTGATTAAATTTAGGCTTTTGAGATGGGAAGATTATCCTGGGTTATCCAGGCCAGTGTACCGACAACGATCCTTATAAGTGACAGGTAGACAGCAGAGTCAGAGTTGGAGATGGGGCTGTGGCAGCAGAGTTGGAGGTCAGGGTGACGTGACTGGCCTGGGAGATGGAGGCGCGAGCCAAGGAATGTGGGCACCCTCCAGAGGCAGGAAAAGGCAAGGGAACAGATTTCCCTGAGAGCCTCCAGAAGGAACGCAGCCCTTCTGACACCTTAATTTTAGCCCAGAGAGACCCATTTCAGACTTCTCACCTCCAGAAATGTAAGATAATATATTTGTGTTGTTTTAAACCGCTTGGTTTTGCTGATCTGTTACAGCAGCCACAGGACACTAACACCAGTCACCACCGGAGCTCTCGGAAGCTGGGGCAGGAGGTCTGGGAAGCACATGCTGAAGAGCTCGGCCTGCAGCACTGATGGGATGGCTCCAAAACCCCGCTGGAGATTGCTGTGACTCTCCAGAACCTCTGAGAAAGTTCCTGTCACTCATCGTGGTCTGCACAGGCAGAGCAGGTGGGTCTCAGCCCAGCATAGCAGCCACCGAGAATCTCCCCTCTGCCCACCCGGTGGGTACAGGCCTGTCCCTCCGTCTCTTCTTTGCCCCACATCTCATGCCAGCCTCTCCTATTGGAGAACTTTGAACCAGAAAGATGCAGGGAAAGGGTTACTGGGGGACATATTTCCTGGTTTCTCTGCAGAGAAGGAGACCGCCGGCTTGACGAGTCGCAGTCCGCTCACCAGTGGACAGTGCCAAGGGCAGGTGTGCTGTCTAACCCCGCGTTCACGAGCCAAGATCCCACAGCTGGTGTAAACCAGTGATGTATTTAAGAGATCTGTTTAAATCCAGCAAATATTTTTGGTAGCTATGATGTGTCAGGGATAGTAAAAAGAATGAACTCGTGGTTTGTGCAATTTACATCAGCGCTACTGAGGAAGGATTCTAGAAACCCATTGATCCAGCTAAGACTATGTCTTTAAATTGTAAAAAGTTTTCTTGTGTTCTCCAAATCCTAGTAGTTCACAGGATAACTAGAATAACCTAGTTACAGCAATTCCTAGTTAAGCCAGAAGTTTGAAATGAGTTCAAAGTTTAGGGATAAAATCCCAGTGAGAGGTAGAAAACTGGAAAGTTAGTGATTTTTTCCATGTTGATCAATCAAGCCCATAAACAATTTTTCATATGTGTTTTTTTCTTTCTCTTTCAATCTAAGTAATTTTTAGAGACGAGTGTCATTGTGAAGCATGTGGTGACTACGAGAGGAAAGTAACCAGCTCCAGCGTCCCACCTAGTCACCAGGTGACTCAGCCTGAGACCTTGATGGCAACTGCTGTACCCAAAGGCAAAAGAGGCCATCTGCAGGGCAGACAGAACTTTTTCACAAGGTGAGTACAGGTAACCCAAACACGGCCCCTGGGATGGATGGAGAAACAGCGTAAGAAGAAAGTGTCCTCATTGAGCCCAGTGTCCCATAGGGGAGACGGGCACTCCTGTTAGTAATCATACTTCACATTACACACTTTATAAATAGAACATCTTTAATTTTTTAATTTTTTGAGACAGAGTCTCCTGGTGGGATGACACTTGGCATGTGTGATGTGATCTCAAGAATCTGAGAGAAGGAAGGAGGCCTCAGGATAGTGTGTGCGTGCACGTGTGTGTGGGACTGCAGCTCAGGCCAGGACTGCAGAAACAGCCCAAAGCTTGGAACTGAGAATTCCTACAGAAGGTCCCAGAAACATGTTGAGAAGAAGAGGAAAATGAGAAGAGACCATGATAGTGGTGAGCAAGTGAGGATATTTTCTTAGGCTTGCAAATTTACTCTTCAAAATCATCGATAATGCATCAGTGACAGATCCAAAACATTTATTTAATTTCCTCTAGACACAATGACAGACTATGGCAATGTAGTGTTCAAAGAGACTTTGATTTAGTCAAGGAGACCCATCCATTCGCTGTAATGGGGACCGTGGCCACAGAGAGTGGGGAGGGAGTCTGTGCTGGAGCACGTGCCAATCCCCAAGGCTCCCGCGGGAGCTGCCACTGCGCCCTCCACATTGGTGGGCGTGGCCTCACCCAGGGTTCCCTGCAGGGAACAGCCGCTGGCTACTTCTGGGTTCCCCTCACTTGCCTGCCATCTCCTGGCCTCCCTGAATCACTGACGGCTATGCCCTGTAGATGCCATTCTGCAGAGCCTAAGATAAAAAAGATGCCATGAAGATTACCGAGGAGGAAGGGGAGTTGGTTTGCCTGGACCAGCTTCATCAAGCAGTGCAGGTGAAGACGCGCTGCTAACCAAACTGTGCTGCTGATTTTCAAAATCCTGAATGAGCACGAATCCACAATGGAGTCAAAAAGAGTCTTCTTATCATCAAAAGAGAAAACAGACTTCAGGATCAGTTACCTCAGCAAACACAGGCCCTGGGAAGTCATGTTGTCTCATATACCGTCACTTCTTTGCAGCAACTTCCTGTCTGGTTCTATCAAGAGGAATCCTTGTGGATTCAGTGCCTTGGGAGAGATCTTTGTGCACAAAGCCAGATGCTGTGGCAATTCATAGTCAACTCTGAGATAATGGTACAGATGATGGGAAATTTATTTCAAAGCATACTTCAAAGTCCTGACTGTATAAGGCTTTTAATTATGGCCAGTTCCCAAACATTGGCAGCAGATATCCAGAAATCTAGAGATTAGATTTGGCTTTATAATCTGGATATAACATGACAACTGTTAAAACTCACCTATTCCAACACTGATGCATAAAATGGTGACACATCAAAGCAGAACCTTGCACAACCTGAGAGAATCTCGGGGGATGCTTTGCACTGTTGAGCATGTGGGCTGACAGAGACCAGTGTCAAGTGCAGTTCAAGGGAGGTTCGGTATAGAAAACCCACCTGTTTTCTTAGTGAGCAATGTCTCCTCAGTTGAAGGTGGTCAGTTTTCCCATGTAGAAACCAGAGAACCTAACCCTGGGCCTCACACAAGCCGCTGAGCACTGCCCGCGCGGCTCTGCCCCTGCCAGGCCCTCACAGGACAAGAGCTGTTGCAGCAGGTAGGGCCGGCACCCGAAGGGACACAGAGCTCTAGGGCACAGCATATAGTCTGTCACTTCATGAGAAGTTTACTCACTAATCCATAATTGACATGAGTGGGAGCATTTGCTTATGTGCAACAACTCAGGCCTCTTATCAAGTCACAAGGCGGCAACCGCATCTGAAGACAACGCTGACTGCCGCTGCGTCAGGCAGCACACGGGCATCACGGGCTGGAGTGAGTGGTCAGTATAAGGCAGAACGCCAGAATCAGCCCCCAGCAATAATCCTGATATTCTTTTAGCCGTGTCAAACCCTAGAGAGAAACAGAGGCTTGGTTACAGATTCAGCACGGTTTACAGACATCAGCCGCAAAGACTCAGACGTATCTCAGGATTTGCTTTCGGCCTGGAGGAATTGGAGACGGGGTGCTTTGGAGCTCTGCAAAGAACAACACGGCCGTCTGTCTCTCTGGAGGAGACAGAAAGTCCCGATCAGGCATCACAGGGCCTGAAGTCTCCACACACACTGCAGCCTCCTGCTGGAGAAAGTTCTCAGCCGCTACAAACGCTAGAAAGTAGTTTGCAAGAAAATATAGATCCATTTCCTACAATAGAGTTTTTGAATCTTAAAGCAAACTTCTAATGTCTACTAACAATGTAGGTGGGTTAGTGGGGTCTTTGGAAGTCACTGGAGGCCCTGAACCATAGCAACGTTGCTGTTTTTAAAAAACAAATTACTTAATTTGTATAACGTTTTATACTTAAAATAATGCATCATACATTTTGAGCTTTGCACTGTCCTGTTAACATCTTACATGGCGATGAAGACAGAATGCAATTTATACTTTTTGATGGAAATAAATGCTTTTGAATTGAAGGAACTTGTTTGAATTAAATACTTCTTTCTGCACTTAATGAGATTCTTGCAAACAGGTATCTACTTTTAAATTTGAGAGACTAGATTTTGTCCTGCAGCCGTCCAATTGATTGCTTTTTAAACAGCATAATCTAAACATTAGATTATGGTAGTTGTATTAGTTTCCTGTGGTTGCTTTAACAAATTGCCACAAACTTGATGGTTGAAAACAACAGAAATCTATTCTTTCACAATCCTGGAGGCAAGAAATTAAAAATTAAGGTGTGGGTAGGGCTGTGCTCCCTCCAGAATCCAGTCCTTGCCTTTTCCAGCTTCTGACGGTGGCAGGCATTCCTTGGCTTGTGTCTGCATCACTCTGGTCTTTGCCTCCATCTTCACGCCACCTTCTCTGTGTGTCCATGCACCTCAAAACTCCCTCCGCCTCTCTTTTATAAGGATACATGTGATTGTATTTAGGTCCCACTCGGATAATCTAGGCTAGCTCCTTTTCTCAAAATCCTTAACTTAATAATATCTTTTACCATGTAAGGTAATATTCACTATTTTACCATATAAAGTGAAGTTACATATTCTGGGGATTTAACATGGATATCTTTTGGAGGGTCAGCCTTCAGCCTACCAAAGCAGTGTATTAGTTTCCTCTGACTGCAATGACAAATTATCACAGCTTTGGTGGTTTAAAACAAAACATATTTATTCACTTAGAGGTCTTGAGACCAGAAGCCCAAAATTAATTTCAGTGGGCTAAAGTCAAGGTGTCAGCGGGGCTGGTTCCTTCTGGAGGCTCTATGGGAGAACAACTCCCCTACCCTTCCAGCTTCCAGTGGCTGTTTGTGTTCCTTGGCTTGTAACCCTTTCCTCACTTTAAAAGTGAATCACTTCCATCTCTCCTTGGGTCATCACATCCCCTCCCTTCTGCCTCCTCCAAGAAGGCTCTTTGTGATTACATTGGGCCTGCCTGGCAAGTCCAGAGTAATCTATCTCTAGATCCTTAACTTAATCACATCTGCAAAGTCTCCTTTGACAAGTAAGGCAACATGCACAGTTTCTGGGAACTAGGCTGTGATTAGAGGCCATTAACCAGCCGATTACCGATAGTAATTTGTGAGAAAAATTATTATAGAGAAGCAAATTATTTGCACTGTATAGTTTTCAGTATAGTGTTGTTTATTGTGACTTATTGTGACTTTGGCATCTATTATATTCTGCAATTGAAATGCTTTAAAGATTTATGCCACATATTGACAGCTGTTGCTTCTTTTGTACTGAAGATTGTATACACATTTGGGTTGTGATTCCTAGAAACACAGGCAGAAATAGGTATCTGAACAAAACGCATGAAATGAAAGAGATAAAGAAAATAAGGAAATGAAACCAAAGCTAGCATCCACTAGTTTTCTAGGTTCTCATAGCATCTATTGCTAATGGGACTCAGCAAAAATCCAAAGTGCCCCGGAGGTGCTTTCCTTGAAAAATGTGGTAGAAATTTGATTCTGGTTCTCTGTTACAAGATTCACTAGATTACTAAGAAAGAAGTGTACTTGATAACTTTCTCAAAATATTCACAAAATGACTGAAATGTCATTTCAAAATGTTGCAAAGGGCCCAAGTGAAGCAGTGAGAGGGGCTGATGCTGATCTGCTGGGACAGTTAGAACAAACCATAGTACACCCTTTCGGTGCAATATCATGCCCAAGAAACAGCAGATCTCGTCTTTATGCTGACTGCAAAATCTAGCTCTTTATAAGACACGTGGAAAATGATGGCAAGAACTGCCCCAGGGATGGAGCTAGGCCTGAGCCAGGACTGGCCGTGCCATGCGACACCCCTGTGGGCTTCTGGAGACAGGACCCAGGCTGGCTCAAGCTGAGTCGTCCTCTGATCATAGGTCCTGGTGGAACAAGGTCCTACTGCAGAGACAAGTACAAAGATGCTGTACGATGACACAGCTGAGGAGTGACTAATCAGAACCAACACGTTTGTGAGCACTGAGTGTGTGGGTACCTTCTGAACTGTGCTACTTCCTCTCCACCTCCAGCCAAACTCAGCACAGGAAACATGTGGATTCTAAAAGGTTTGTGGCTCTTTTGATTAAGAATTTTTCTCCATCCTGTAATTCACCCACCCCAATTATAAAGATTTAAGAAATATAATTTTAAATGTAAATTATTTTTTCAGGAAATAAACTGCAAGATTAAAAAGTCACAAAAGTCAGAGCAACACAGAGCAATGGCGGGGGGACTTCCCGGCCCCTCCTCTCACGGAAGAGGAAGTCTGTGTAAGGGGCAGAGGCTGTAGGGAGAGGGCGAGCGAGCAGGGCCACTGTCTACTCAGATGTGTCTGGAGGGGAACAGACGTGTCAGATGTGTCTTGGAGGAAGAAACTTCAGGGGTTTCCAGAGATGCAATGTGAGTTCTTGTTCCTCCTGAACTCAGCTTTGGTAGCCACAGGTCCACAGAGAACCCAGCCAACAGTGATGTCCATGATGGGGACGCTGGGCTGGGAAGGCGGCTCTGGGAAAGGACTGGAAGGTGAGGGGCCTGACCCAGGCTCAGCCCTGACCCTGCTGAAGGGCTCCAGAGGGCCCCTGCTTTCCCTGAGAAGAGACCTGACCCCCACCCCCTCCTTACCCCATCTCAGGGTGAGGGGCTCCGGCAGCCCCTCGTGCTGCACATGGCACGTGTATCTCTGCTCCTCTCCAGAAGGCACCACCACAGCTGCTCACTTCTGGAAGGTTCCATCCCCTGCAGGCCTGGTCTGCACAAGCTCCATGTCCTGGGTCTGGTCCTCCCCATCCCGCTGCCAGGTCAGTGTGATCTCCACAGGGTAGAAGCCCAGGGCCTAGCACCTCAGGGTGGCATCACAGCCAGGATGTGGTGGTGAGGGGTGCCTTTGGAGGGTCCAAAGGATTTAGAACATTCATTTCCCTCCCATGTGCTGTTCAACAGGGCTCATGTGACCACCCTGAGAATAGGCAGGATTTTAGGAGGAGAAAAGGGAGGAGAAACCCAGACATCCACATCTATTTTAAGAGTCCAGGGGGAATATTTTCTTGGTTCAAAGCAGAATGAGGCAAGACATAGGTGGAGGCACCAGGTCTGAAAGGAGGTAAGGGAGTTGTAATTGAGTAGTGGCAGGGTCACACTGAGCAGGACCAAGGTTAGAATAAGTTCCAAAAGGAGTCTGGTTGGAAGAAGAGGATAAGGTCTGAGAGAGACAGTTTGGTTCTCAAGGAAGTAGTTGCCAGATCATCAAATTAAAAACTTGTGTTCAAATGTTTGCCTCAAAAGATGCTATCAAGATAGTCAAAAGACAACTCATGGAATGAGAGACAATATTTGTAAATCACAAATCTGGTAAGGGTCTAGTATCCAGAATATATAAAGAATTCTTGGCCAGAAGAATTGAGTGTGGCTCACCTGCACTATGGGAGGATGAGGTGGGAGGATCCCTTGAGCTCAGGAGTTTGAGACCAGCCGGAGCAAGAGTGAGACCCCATGTCTATTAAAAATAGAAAGAAATTAGCTGGACAACTACAAATATATAGAAAAAATTAGCCAGGCATGGTGGCACATGCCTGTAGTCCCAGCTACTCGGGAGGCTGAGACAGAAAGATTGCATGAGACCAGAAGTTTGAGGTTGCTGTGAGCTAGGCTGATGTCACAGCACTCTAGCCTGAGCAACAGAGTGAGACTTGTCTCAAAACAAAAGAAAACATAAAACAAAAAGAATTCTTACAACTCAAAACATAAAGACAACTCAATTTGTTTAAATGGGCCGAAGTCTCGAAAAGACATTTCTCCAAAGAAAATATACATATGGCAAACAAACACATGAAAAGATGCTCAGCCTGATTAGTCATTAGCAAAATGTGTCTCAAAACCACAAAGAGTTAATCACTTTACACCCACTAGGATGGCTATATAAAAATAACAAATGGAAAATAAAGAGTAGATGAGGAGAAATTTGAACTCTTATGTTGCTGGTTGGAATGTAAAATGATACAGCAGCTGTGCACAACAGTTTGGTCGTTCCTCAAAGAGTGAAACATAGTACTATCATATGATCCACCCCCAGGTATATACCCAAAAGAATTAAAAATAGGTAGTCAGCCCCACCCCATATGAAGACTTTCTGACTGAGCAGGGCCATTCCAGTCCCTCCCTGGCAGCTTCTCCCAGAAGCAGAGAACAGAACTATGACCCCTGCTAACGGCATTGGTGGTGCCTGAGGGCAGGCTTACCCAACCCAGCTCTGCCCACACTCACTCCTAGACCAGCCCTCACTGAAGGGGAGAAAAGGACACACCTGGAAGTCCCAGGGCCCCACCGACCACCTGAGGCACTAGAGTGCCTCTCTACAGGAACAAGAGCTGATAACAGGACACAAAAACAACAGCGTAGCCTGTTCCTCCAAGCAAGCGCCACCTACTGACAGGGAGGACATCCTGCACACCCTTTTCACAGCACCTACGACTCATCATACAGGGAGTGGTAGAATCTCACCCACAGACACCACCTACTGGCTCAGAGACTAAACAAGGCATGTGAATACCCAAATGAAAACCTAAAGGAAAGAAGCAACAACTGATCAACATGAGAAGAAATCAGCGAAGGAACTCCGGAAATATGAAGAACCAAACGGAAACCCAAAGAGCAGCAACAGCCCCTTAGAAACGGACACCAACGAAACTCAGGCAACCAAAATGACAGAAGAGGAATTTTGAATGTGGATCATAAGAAAATTCAACGGCCTGCAAGGACAACTCGGTAACCACCACAAAGAAAACACAAAAAGACTCCAGGACCTGGGAGAAAAATTCACTAAAGAAATTGATACAATGAAGAAAAGTTTAACTGAACTCCTAGAAATGAAGGATCAATTCAGGGAACGACAAAATACAGTGGAAAGCCTCAAGAACAGGGTAGATCAAACAGGAGAAAGAATCTCAGAGATTGAAGATAACACCTTCCAATTAAATAAGTCAGTCACAGAAATAGAGCAGAGAAACAAGAGCAAAGCCTACAAGAGATGTGGGATTATGTGAAGAAACCTAATGTGAGGGTCATAGGGTTACCAGAAGGGGAAGAAGAAAACACTCAAGAGTTGGACAAGCTATTTGAAGATAAAATAGAGGAAAATTTCCAAGGCCTTGCTAAAAATCTCGATATACAAGTTCAAGAAGCTCAGAGGACCCCTGGGAGATTCAGTGCAAACAGGAAGATGTCACAACATGCAGTCATCAGACTGACCAAAATATCAACTAAAGTGGCCCTTCTAAGAGCTGTAAGACGAAAGAAGCAAGTAACATATAAGGAAAAGCCAATCCGAATAACACCAGACTTCTCTAATGAGACTTTACAAGCAAGGAGAGACTGGAGCCCCACGCTCACTTTTCTGAAACAGAATAATGCCCAGCCTAGAATCTTATTGGCTGCAAAACTAAGTTTTGTATATGAAAGAGAAATCAAGACATTCTCAGTTAAGCAAAGGCTGAGGGAATTCAGCAAGACAAGACCAGCTGTTCAGGAAGTATACTATAATCAAAAGTGTTACCCACAGATCAGCACAGTAAACACTCAGGAATGTAAATCTACTCAAAGCTAAAGATCAAAGCACAGATACCACAATGGCTCAAGAAAAACAACAAAGCAACAAAGTTCAACCCAACATAATGAACAGAAATCTGCCCCACCTATCAGTTATCTCAATAAATGTGAATGGCTTGAACTCCCCACTCAAGAGACATAGGCTGGCCAAATGGATAAAAAAACACAAGCCAAGTATCTGCTGTCTTCAGGAAACACATCTAACCTGCAAGGATGCATATAGACTAAAGGTAAAGGGGTGGAGAACAATGTTTCAAGCAAACGGAAGCCAAAAGAAAGCTGGTGTGGTTGTGCTGATTACAGATAACTTAGTTTTTACATCAACAAAAGTAATAAAAGACAAAGCTTACTATATAATGGTGAAGGGTACAGTTCAACAAGAAGACATAACAATTCTAAGTATATATGCACCCAACCTTGGTGCACCCAGATTCATAAATCAAACTCTACTGGATCTAAACAAATGGATAAACAACAACACCATAATAGCCGGAGACTTTAACACCCCTCTGACAGCACAGGACAGATCCTCCAAACAGGAAATCAACAAAGAAATAATGTACTTAAACAGAACTCCAGAACAAATGGGCCTGACTGACATTTACAGAACATTCTACCCCAAAACCACCGAATATACGTTCTTCTCATCAGCTCATGGGTCATTCTCTAAGATTGACCATATCCTAGGACGCAAAGCACGCCTCAAACAATTTAAAAAAATAGAAATTATACCGTGTATCTTTTCAGACCACAATGGAATAAATGTAGAAATCAATCCTAACAGGAGTTCTCATTTCTACACAAAGTCATGGAAACTAAACAACCTTCTGCTGAATGATCACTTCATTAACAAGGAAATCAAGATGTAAATCAAAAGATTGTTTAAACTAAATGACAAAGGTCACATAAGTACCCAAACCTGTGGGACACAGCTAAAGCAGTCCTGAGAGGAAAGTTTATTTCCATAAATGCCTATATCCAAAGGTCGAAAAGATCACAAATAGAAAACCTAATGAATCATCTCAAAGATCTAGAAAAAGAACAGACCAACCTCAAACCCAGCAGAAGAAGTGAAATCATTAAGATCAAATCAGAACTAAAGGAAATAGGGAAACTATACAGAAGATTAATAAAACAAAAAGTTGGTTCTTTGAAAAAATAAGCAAAATCGACACACCATTGGCCAGACTAACGAAAAGCAGAAAAGAAAAATCTCTAATAAGCTCCATCAGTTATAATAAAGGAGAAATTACAACTGATGTCATGGAGATATAAGATATAATTTATGAATACTACAAAAACCTCTATGCACACAAACTGGAAAATGTGGAGGAAATGGACAATTTCTTAGAAACACACAGCCTCCCTAGGCTTAACAGGAAGAAATAGAATTCCTGAACAGACCAATATCAAGTACTGAAATTGAAACAGCAATAAAAAAACCTTCCTAAAAACAAAAGTCCTCGGCCGGGCGCTGTGGCTCACGCCTGTAATCCTAGCTCTTGGGAGGCCGAGGCGGGCGTTTGCTCAAGGTCAGGAGTTCAAAACCAGCCTGAGCGAGCCCGTCTCCTACTATAAATAGAAAGAAATTAATTGGCCACCTGATATATATATATAAAAAAAAATTAGCCGGCATGGTGGCGCCATGCCTGTACCCAGGCTACCTGGGAGGCTGAGGCAGAAGGATCACTCGAGCCCAGGAGTTTGAGGTCGTGTGAGCTAGGCTGACGCCACGGCACTCACTCTAGCCCGGGGCAACAAAGCGAGATCTGTCTCAAAAAAAAAAAAAAAAAAAGTCCTGACAGATAGCTTTCCACTGGAATTTTACCACACCTACAAAGAAGTACTGGTGCCTATCCTGCAGAAATTATTCCACATCATCGAGAAGGATGGAATATCCCGGAACACATATGAAGTGAACATAACCCTGATACCAAAACCAGGAAAGAAGCAACAAAAAAAGAAAACTACAGACCAATATTCCTTATGAATATAGATGCAAAAATTTCACAAAATCTCTAGCCAATCGAATCCAGGTGCTGTGCAAGAAATTAATTCTTCACAACCAAGTGGGCTTCATCCCAGGGATGCAGGGAGGTTCAACATACACAAATCTATAAATGTAATTCACCATATAAACGAAGCAAAGACAAAGTCACATGATCCTCTCAATAGACGCAAGAGAAAGCATTTGACAAAATTCTACACCTTTTATGATAAGAACGCTCAAACAAATAGGCATAGATGGGGCTTACCTAAAATGATACAAGCATAAATGACAAACCCACAGCCAATATCATATGAATGGGGAAAAATTGAAAGCATCCCCACTAAACTGGAACAAGACAATGGTTGCCCACTATCTCCACTTCGTTCAACATAATGCTGGAAGTCCTCGCTACGCAGATCAGATAGGAAGTGGAATTAAGTGTCCAAATGGGAGCATAAGGGATCAAACTCTCACTCTTGCTGATGACAATTGATATTATACCTAGAAAACCCAAGGATTCAACTATGAGACTCCTTGATCTATAAATGAATTTGGTAAAGTCTCAGGATACAAAATCAATACACAGAAATCAGAGGCATTCATATACGCAAGTAAAAGTGAGAACCAAATCAAAGACTCAATTCCCTCAAAATAGCAACAAAGAAAATGATAGTACCTTGAATATATTTTACTAAGGAGGAAAAGGACCTTGACAGGGAGAACTATGAAACACTGAAGAAGGAAATAGCAGAGACATAAAGAGAGAGAATATACATGCTCATGGTCGGCAGAATCAACATTGTTAAAATGTCTAACCTACCCAAAGTGACCTACAGAGTCAACACAATCCCTATCAAAAT